TTGGTCGCGACCGTCTGATCATAAAACCACAACCTCGACCCGGGAGTGAACATAAAAAGTCTTTTTGTGCATAATACATAATGTTTCTACGTTTTTCTGCGGTTCGAAGCCAGCCTGGTTTGTATTGACCTTTTAGTAGCGACCCTGCTTTGATGACAAGTTGTGTTTAGGAAAGACACAGACTCGGTAGGAGGAGATCAGTCGACGGATTTTTGGATGCCGTCGAAAGAGCGCAGAGTCGCAGACTTGTTTTCGTGGCAGCGAGATCACGTAGAGTCAGAAAACAGTTTTGCACCTCTACACACTGCAAAAAGAGATTACACAAGCAGTCGAAACTCGGAGCCTCTGATCATGTCCAAAAAAGGAAGACGGCGTTACGTCGGAATGTTCTAGAAAAATCTCGTTATGTAAATAACGAGATTGACATTTCATATCCTAATGGATAACATCATCTTTGATGAAAGATACATGCCAATTAAATTCAAGTAAATGGATTGAGGTTTACATATAATAATGTACCCAAACGAAAGTTAACATTCAAAAATAGTCTCCATATGTTCGTTGCAATTTAAGAAAAGTAAATATTCTTAAACTTTACAATTTAAGAAAAGTTTCGCAGCCAGTTAATTCAAGAATTGCCAACCCTGCATTTTGTGAATCAAAGCACATGCTTTCGTTGTTCCAATTTTTTTAATCTCGGAAAAAATGAATGAGACCAAGTTTCAGCGTAAGCTGTTGATAACTAAAGATTTTTTCGCAATGATAAAATTTGTGTTTTGATCAACAAACTGCTTAATTTTACGACAAATTTCAAAAAATGGAAATATGGACATCTTTTTTTGTCAAAAAACTCGTACGGAAGGATATTTTCAGTTATGAACCAGATTGCGAATAAGATATTCCATTTCTCTTTGTGTCGAGAAAAACTGGTCTGCATTTTTGTTTACATTTAAAAGCCAAATTGCCTAAAGCTCAAAATTTAACTTAATTTACTCTGCATTCAAAAAATCGATTGTTTACGGCTGCTCCTGCTGTGGGATTCGTACTTAATTTATTTTAGGAGCAAGCTTCTTAAGTTAAATTTACAAAAATATCTGAAAAAAAAACATTTTAAACCAATTCTCACAAAACAAAAACAATTTGAAATATTTACAAAACTAATACGAAGATAGCCGGCTGAAGATAGCCACACAGAATAAAAAATAAAAATATAAAAACAAGAAATTCATTAAAAACATCGAAAAATTTCAACTTCTTAATTTCATGATTTTTTTTAGTTAATGCACTAATTAAGTTATATCTTGTTTTTCTTCAGTTAAATCAAAAAAGCAAAAATTGCAAAAATGACAAACAATTATAGCTAAGTTAGAATAAAATTAGGTTTAATTGGGAGCTTGTTTTCTTATCGTGTTTTTCTTAAGTTTCGGTTCGTTTAGTTTGAAAAACGGAAAAGTCCAGACCAATTTTTCTCAAAACTGCGTGAGCTTCTAATTTTTTTTCGTGAAATCGAGTTCACGGCTGAAAGAGCTTTATTATGATATTGCATTTGGATCACTACGGGTTTTCTTTAAACTGTCAAATGCGTCGCAAAAATCACTATCGAAGTTCCTCCGCTTTTGGTGAAGTGGTCGGAAAATATCTTGAAGACAAGACAAGCAGGCGCGGATCTAGGTTTTTTTCGAGGGGGGGATTTTTGACGTTTTTTCATTTTTTCCGACCTTTTTTTTAGGTCGACCAAATGGATTTTCTGAGCTCTCCAAAACCACTATAAAGACCCTAATTTGCCAAATTTTCTGGCCGCAGACAAATTTTTGAAAGAAGTCAAAAAAGGCGTTTTTAGGAACTAGACATCTCAAAATAGTACAAAGGGGGGACCCTCGTTCGTTAACAAACCCTCGTTCGCTCTGCCACGTGAGAGCTGGGCTGTTATCATGGCAGAACGACCGAGTGTCAGAGTTTTTCTGAACGGACAATCAAAACTTTTTTCATCTTCACAAACGACGTTTTTGTGCGTATGATACCAAATTAAAAGTATGGTCCCACTAAAAACATTTTCTAAATTTACGCTACAAAAAACGATTATTTTACAAGTGATTTTAACATTTCTAAATTAACGTCAGACATGTAATCAAAAAGCAATAAAATAAATGGATAAATCAAAATATTTGGATAAAAAAACCAATCAAAAATTTTAAGAAACTTGTAAAGGCTGTGGTTTTTTCTTAAACGAGCTTAAATTTTGTGCAGCTATTTTACAAAAACTTAGAAATAAACAATACCTTTTAGAACAAACATTTTTAGCAGCCGTTTTTGTGCTGGTTTCCAGCAAACTCAAAGAATTGTCTATGCTTGGGGTCTTTTTATTATTCGATCCATTTTTGAACCACTTTTGGTTTTTTGAATCATTTGAAAATATTAATTAATGCGTTGAGCTCACAGTTAAACAGATATGACATGACGTTTTTCTATAGAGTTATGGATGTTTGGAAAACTGAAGTTAGGATGATTGTTTCACGCTATTTAAGTTTTTTATGTAATTTGTTGAATTTAATCAACCGGCTAATATGACAAGAGCTGTTAAGACGACAAACGTTTCATGGGAAATCGAGAAAACAATTCTTTATGCAAATTGGCTTAAATTACATAATCTTTAATTTGATGAAATTTCAAGGCGAGTTTAAATTGGGTATATAAACTAAAAACAATTTCTGGACAGCTGGAATTTTTTATTCACTCAAAAGAGGATTTTCTGAACGAATGAAATCAAATTAAGTCTTAATTTTAAACTAATGTCTGTGCAATTAAATTATGTTTATGAGGAAATTTGTTTAGAATTCAAACACTTAACACTTTCAAGGAAAAAATGTGACTTCTTAATATCTTGTTGCTTCAATGTTACGTCTTTGTTTTTCGCTGAAATGTTTTGTTGATGCATCACCAAATGAAATGCACCAATTAAAGCAGCGCACCGAGCAAATTGAACTGAGTGAAGCTGCTTAATTGTTCAAAAACTACTGCAAGTACTTTAAAAAGTGTAAAAAATCTCAAGATATTAATCTGTTTATCTGTGAACAGCAGTCTTCTTGTTTTGACTTTCAAAGTTGGTTGGTGTGTTTTTTCTTCAGACTAGTTTGTGCATTTTAACAAGCCATCTGTGGAAGTTTTTATATCAACTCAAAGTACTCCGGTGAATTGAATTTCTGAATTTTTTCATTGCCAATATGACCAATATAGAACAACAAATGTGCGATATATTTTGTGCTTTTAACGTTAAAGCCTTTAAATTTGGCTCATAATCCATTTAAAAATGAATCAACGCAACACTTTTTTTTGATACCTTTATAGGCCTTACGTTGCATTTTTCTTACTTGGTACGAACTTTTACAATAATTAACTAATAATAATTGTAGTTACTGCGAATCGCAGATGAGCTATCAGTATGCCTTAACAGTCCTGTCGAGGATAGTCCATTTGTATTATCTCCCCACATTCCAGACATTGTTATTTTGCTGAGCGAAGCTGTTTTTTGCAACTCAAGGCCGGTTTTTTGCGTCTAGAACTTTTACGTGGTACCACTATTGCAGCCGAATTTGGTCAGGTTGTGGTAGACCTGAAGCTGTCCTCACACACTATCATTGCCATGGCATGGGATCGATTACAAGATCTGACGATTTAAAGTGAACGCCTTTCCAATGTGCTATGTGCCTCTATATATTTACTACACACTTTTTCAATCACAAAAAGTTTTTTTTTGGTAAGATTTTTTCGTTGAAGTGAAATGATGTTTTTAAGGTCTCACGATTTTTTTTACAATTTATTAATCCTTTTCAAATACTTCAAGTAGACTTCAAGTGATCCGGAATCATGAGATTTGAATGGAATTCGTTAAAAATAGAACGACTACACTTATAAAACGTTATCTAAGGAATCGTTGTACTGTGCAGTTTTGGGCTGCATTTTTTTTTCACAACATCGTGTTTCGTATCAGAGTAAAACATATGATTTTTTTCATGTACACTTTTACAAGATATAACATTTGCGATATGAGTTTGAGCATTTTAGGGCGCTTAACTCTAAATTAACAACTTTCGAAACTCAAAAAACAATTGATGATTGACACTATAAAAAACTGGATCAATGGGTAGAGTTTTCGTTCCACTGAAAATTCAAAAAATAAAATCCGCTTTCGAAACTAGATGTTTATCATGTTTTTTGAGCCCTCTCCCCATTCGTCTTTGGAGAGCTGCTAATTTAAAGCAAATGATTTTGAATCTAACTCAAAAATGCATATACACCCTAATGCATTCATAAATGCCTTAACATGTATGAATTTACTTGTAGCTGTTAGAGCTTTTTAAAAACTTCTAGTAAATCAAAAACAAACAAAAAAGTCAGCAAGAACTATATAAGTGATAGTGACTGGGTAATTCAATGTGATAATCAATAATTGGAACATAAAAAATGATGGATTTAGTCAAATTAAAGCATTGCTTTATTTGAGAGTTGTTCTTAAATTCAATTCTAAAATCGATCACCTCTTTGCGGATTTGGAAAGGGTCTAACTGATCACGCAACAGGCCCTACCTTTGGAACTTTTTCACGGCATCTTTTTCTGTTTTGACAACACTAAAAATTTTCTAAGACAGCCTTCAGCGCCAATGGACACTAAATTTAAGGGAGCAGTGCGCGCCAAAAAAAAATCATCAAAAAACTTCAAAACATTGATTTTTTTCATCAGAATATGCCTGCTGTGTAGAAATTTGAGACAATATAGGGTCCCTAGAGAAAAATTTGGAAGAGCTCGGATAATCAATTTATTCCACCGAAAAAAAGTCGACGAAATCTTCGAAGCCTTTGAAATTCCAACCCCCACCTTCTGTCCCACTCTATCGAAAAAACACGAACAATGATTGCCTTACGTTACATCGTTTCTTCGATAATTAGAGATAATGATTATTAATTAACGTTCATTTTCTGGCAAAATATACAGTAATAAACAGTTTTGAAGGAATATGATTTGAAGAAAAAGTTTATTATTTACTTTTTTGAGAAATTTTCTCAACAATGAGCTAGCTCTTACAATCTGAGCATTCTATTGTAATGAACGAGGCAAGTTAATCTTGTTTGCAAGTTTGGTAATTCCGAAAAAACTTTCTCAAATCAGAGATCTGATATTCATTTTTGTACCCTTCTTCCTTCTCTTTTTTGAGTCTCTCACAAATCCTGCAGTGGAGAGACTTTGTGGGATCGGCTGCGAACTGAAAGTTTTGTCGCCAGTTGTGGTATTCCAAGTAGGCTTCAAAGTTTCCTTTCAGATATAACAAATAATCACTCAATTCTTTCATATCCGAGAAATCTTTGACGTGTATGAAGGAACCTGGAATATAGAACATGTAACAACTTCTGAGGGGGTAAAATTCTGGCAGGTTTTATTTAAAACACCCCAATTTAAATCAACTGAAACAAGGTCGTACAGCCTGTTGCTGTACAAGGGGCACAGCCTGATTCAGGCATGTTTAATTATTAACAAAACAAAAATAAAAACAAATCGTTAAAAATTTCTAACATTCTTTTTCTTGCTCTACTGCTTTTTTATTTTGTGAGATGGGACTGATTTGGCTGAGGAGTTTTCGGAATCAGATAGTAATAACTAAAAAACTACTAAGAAAGGTTTTTTAATTACATTGAAACTCAGTTTGAGTTATTCAGGTTGAATAAACAAAACATAGAACGAAGATTGGAAAAGAGTAATGAACGCAAGTAAACATAAAAAAACTCAACTTTCGAATTCCAAAGAAAAAAATAGATGCCTTTTCAGTTCGTTGAATTTCAAGAACGATTTAAGATTAGCGCTTTTTTGATAACATTAAACCAAGTTGAAAAACTGGATCAACAGGTAAAGTTTTTATTCCACAGGACTTCTAAAAATTAAATTCTATTTTCGAAACTAGAAATTGTTCGAAAACTTTTGCGCCATTTCCACGTTCGTATTTGGACAGTGCCAATTACATCAGTTTCAGCCATGAATTTCAATTGAAATCAAAAAGTGCATAGTTATATAAGTGCATCAACACTTTGAGAGTCTTCCTAAAAAAATCAGCAAGACCTATATAAGACACTTCACTACGTTCATTACTCTTAAAAACTCAGATAAGTTTTTCTCGCCACCAAGAAAATTGTTCTAAATTTCAAATTAGAATTCACATCACAACAGAAGCGTCCTAAAATGCGCTGATCGAAGTTTTTCTCAAATAGGCGGATATTCAAAACGTTTCTCAACCTTTCGGCAACCCTTTTCCACGCCAACTTAATTGTTTTTTGAGTTCTCTAAATAAAACAATACAGTAATTTGCCAAAACTATCTTTGAGGAGCGGGCAAAAATTGACGTTTTCCGAAAATTGTTGAACAAATCTTTTTTCTCTGGCAGCGCATCCGCCCGAAATTAAGAGATGAAAAATTTATGTATTTTGGCAAAAAGAAGACAAACCCCTGCCAAATATTTTGTCAATCAGAAAGAGCACGTCGCTGAATGCAATTGACGTTTTCCGAAAATTGTTGAACAAATCTTTTTTCTCTGGCAGCGCATCCGCCCGAAATTAAGAGATGAAAAATTTATGTATTTTGGCAAAAAGAAGACAAACCCGAGCCAAATATTTTGTCAATCAGAAAGAGCACGTCGCTGAATGCAATGCGCTAAACTGCAGATTTTTTTGTCGCTAAAATTATTCAGTAATTGAAAACAGATTAAAAATTATCCCAAATATGTAGCCTTTAAAGCCCTAAAATTTTGCAGAAAAAGCATCACATGTAAAAAAGCCAAGTGATAAATGTCTTTCAGACTATAAGAAAAGCAGTCAAAACTTGCTAGCTAAAACGTCGAAGCTTGTCGGGGGAAACACCACTCCGAATTCAAATATTTTGTCGAAGGTCGGAAAAATATTATATCATGTACAATACGCATGCTATAGTAAGTTATCACTAAAAATTGGTCAGTTGTTGTTTTGAAATTTAAGCGTGGTTAATTGTAAAACATTCTATGCTTTTCATAAAACCCGTCAAATTAGTTCAAAAGTTTCTCATTTGAGTTTTCAAAGAATTCGTCCTTTTCATGGATGGTCAGAAAAATTTAAATTTTGAAAATTAAGCGCAATGAATCGTACCATATTGTGCACTTTTTTATAGAGCTCATCAAATTGGCTTTGAAGGTTTCGGTTTCTAAATATTTTCAATTTCATCGGGGATCTGAAAAATTAAAAATCATTTAAAAAACGCCTGCTAAAATTCAAGCAGATTGCTCATTTTAGGGAGAAATCCTGATTGCTCCAACTGCCTTTTTAAGCTCTATGGAACAGTATTAACATAAAAGAAGTAAATGTAGGAAAATAAAATGTTTTTTTTTCTAAATTTGAAATTTTTTAATGAAAATTATCACCCACACGCAATAAAAATTACAAAATGATAGTTTTCGCTCCAAGCAGCAAACAATTTATGGCAAATAGGCTTCCATCAACCAATTGGAATGATTTATGAGAAGCAATAAATCACCTCTAATAGATTGGATTACTTAAAACAATTAAAGTTTGATATCTTTGCTAAAAATTGCAGAACCCGGTTAATGGCTGAAGAGTAGAGAGAAGAGAAACGGTACAAAAATGGACAAAAATCCCGACGGTTCAATTAAAAACGCGTAGTACAACAACGGTTATGAAAGAGTTTTGGAAAATTAGTTTACACTGCACGCTATACAGCGGATAACCCGAACGGATCAGTCATCGGGATTTGTGGCTAAGTCAATTCGCGAATTTTGCACGGAGGGTCTCATGTCGACTAAAATCCCGGAGAAAAATTCAAAAGGCAGATACTACTAAAGCCATTGGTGTCAGAGCGGGCAGCAGAGAGTAGTCATTCTGAAGGAATGAAAAGTGAACCTCTGACATTGGACTTGACAAAACGATTGCCGAAAGAGGGTTGTACCGTATTCAAGTTCGGAAGAGGGAAGTGCGCTCCGAATGAAGACAACAATAATCCCAGCTAGCCCGATAGAGTTGTCGTCCGCCGAACAGGGTGGTGATAAAACGGAAGAAAATGACAATGCATTTTCTAGGAAATTAATACACAAAAGCCGCAGGCTACCGAGAAGGAATTGTCGCCGCCTCAACCAATGCCAATGAACATAAAAATAGAAGAGGAGAAAACTCCACCACAGACTAGTGTGGGACCAACTCAGGGGAGTGCAACCAGCCAGAATACAGCCATAACTCGACACAATACACGGCCACTAAGAGATCGAAGACAACCTAAGTTCTTGGGGGAAAAACTATTCACAAGGGTGGTTACCAGCGGTTCGACCAGCGTAAATGTTGTCAGCCAAACGCAGAACACTTCGGATGAAGAAAAAAGTCAAGAACCGAAGGCTTCATAGAATTATACTCCGAGGAAGGTGAATAGAAGTAGAAGAGGGGTAACGCTAGGATTGCGACCAGTACAGGGGACAAAGTGAAAAAGTCCGTTTATCAAACGTCTCCGAGAAAAATCCCAAGCACGAAACGACGCAGCGCAGAGGTATATATTTTGACCGAGAGTTGTTTCCTTTTTTTGGGGGGCAGGATTATGTCCAAGACGATGTGACTACTGGTTGGATCAGAATGTGTCTGGACATTTTGGAGATATGTTAAACAAATTGCGTCGAGTCATCAAATATAGGTCAGGAATTCGAGCGGTCATAGATTCAGCAGGAAACGTCATTGACAGATTTCGTTTGCAGTCGTTATATCAAGTATACGTAATAGTCAACGGAATACGAATGTGGCCAAATTAGTCGACATTGCTCAAGCGGAAAATCATCGGACGCGTATCCCAATCGATCAGGCAGGAGGGGATTTTTTTGCTGCGAATTGGAACAGACGAACAAAGCCCAACGTTACCGTCGGCTAGGCGAGTTAGAATCAGTACCCCGATGAAGTCGGATGAACCAGGGAATGTGATTCAGTCGCACACGCCAAAGGCAGTGATAGTTTCCCTATCGTGTCAATCGGAGGATCTGGGTGCTCGTCAGGAAGAGCACACACGATGCGCGGCACCGGTGGAGGAGGGCGAAGAAGAAACAGCTGGTGGCAATAGTGAACGGTACGGCCGACGTCATCCATGCGAGCGGTGATTCCAGCGGTCCATTTGCCACGGAGGATTTAAGTTTTGCCGATGAATTATCGGCGATTAGTATGACCAATGACGGTCATCAACAAATTTTCGAGGAGCCCAAAGTTTTTTAAAGTGGGGAGGAAAAAGGTAAGGATAGATAGTTATAACTAACGGTTATAAAACTACCAAATACTGTCAAAATGATCTAGTTTAGACACATGATGAGTTGTTATAGGCGATATATTAGATATTATTGCTATTGATGAAATGTTTTGAAGTGGCAAAGTGGCGTAGAGGTTAAAGTATGTACGTATTATAATCAGATCTGATAATATATAATGTTTTATGACCGTCAAGGTAAAGTGATAGTAAACGTGTTGAGTTCATACAGCCAGTGGCTGGTATAACGGTATTGAATTTAAGTTGATTCTTTTACGTTCTTTTATTACATTGACTGCATAGGCATACTTTCACAATATGGTCTTTATAGTGATCATTTTGGTCGACATAAAAATGAGGTTTTTTCAAATCCGCCCTTTCGCGAGAAAATCTTAGACGCCCCTGTATGAAATCAGTAGAGGGTTTAGGTTATGGGGGACTCAGAGATTCGACGCTCTGCCGACCGAAAGGGTCCCCTCTTTGTACTGTTTTGAGATAACCATTTTTGGCTGACTGACATTAAAATTTTTCTGAAGCCGCCTTTCCAAAAAGTGCCTAAAAACGCTATTTTTGGCCTGTTATTTAAAATTTAGCCTGCGGCGCAGAAATGTTGGCCAAAATAGGGTCTTCATAGTGGTTGGGAGAGCTCAGAAAATCAATTTGGTCGACCTCAAAAAAAAGATCGACAAAACTTTCAAAATTTTGTTGAAAATCCGCCCCCCTCGAGAAATTCCTAGATTCGCGCCTGTATGAAATTATTATATTTGTATGCAACAAGTTTTCTGTATAGTTTTTGTAAGGTTAATTTGCTGCTGCCCATAGGATATATTTTACTAAAGTAATTCCAATTAAGTCAAAACTATAATTACCCGCCAACCTCTGCACATAACTCTCCCTCCACCCATTCACAATTGGAATTGCGTAGCCATTGAGCGCATTGCTGAACTTCTCAGTAATATAATGAGAACAGTTCGAGTTTTCAAACGCCAAATAAAACACACAGTCTTTTATCACGCCATTCAAGTCGAATTGAGTGCCTGGAAGTTTTCCATGAAAGGTGATGTTGTCCTTAACATTCCGCAAGCAATTTTCTCCGCGCCCCCAGAAGTTCAATTTTTCAGGTAAACTTTGAACCAAATCGCTGACTAACTTCAATCGATTAGTCCATGAAAAAGCACAATTACTCATTATCCAGCACACTAATTTAGTTTTCTTCGCAAACTCAGAACGAACAATTTTTTCAATTTCACGTTTCGCAATTGGCTTACGAAGTTTTTCAACATCACTCATGCCGCTGAAAAAAGTTACGTTGTTGCCATAAGTAGCAGACCAGTTGAAGGCTCTATTGAGATATGGGGTCAAATGGTTCCCGTTGCCGGGGTTTATTGCACTCTCGCGGTCACTTGTAATCCAGAATTGGGTCCTCGAACGTTCAGCCAGATTTATGCCAATTTTCTTCATTAAGGGTTCAATTTTTCGTCTGGCTGGACCTAAAACCAGATACCATTTGAAAATACAATAAAAGTTATTAATAACTCACTCTGTAATATTCAATTTCGAAATTTTGATCGATAGATTTTCTGCGTGGTTTTGAATGTACTAAAATATCTAATGGTTTTTCGAAACACGACAACTGATCTACTTAACAATCTTCCCCCTGTGAAATGGTAACCTAAACTAACTTGGCATACTAACCAAAAAGATGGATTTAAGTTCAGTTGATATGAATTGGCTACAAGTTCAAAAATATGATATGACTGCAATCTTTCAGCAAGCATCAGAGAAGGTTAAGTTTAGTTTAGCACATTGTCATGGTTGGGAGACGTGTCCCAACCTTGACACCTTAATTGCAAATCACTCAAAAAACTCTACGTTCAAATAGACTAGCAAAGTCGAACACAAGGCATGAAAGCTACTCTCACACTCCCCCCCCCCCCCCCCCCCAGGGAAAATTTTGCAAATTGCAAATTGAAAAATTTAAAATTAAGTTTAAAAAATTTAGTTCCTCTTTTTTTTATGTTCCCAAATGACGTTTCTTATGAAGATGCCGAAAACTTTTCCGCTGACACAGGAACGGCACCACTAATATCTGCCTTAGGAGGATCGGTTGAAACTGTTATCTCCTTCACTTTTTCTCTGATCGGACTACCGAAGAACTTGGTTTGGCGTCTATTCCGGCCTGTGGGTCTGAAAGAGGAATCGACGTCTTTTATCGGGCTAGATTTTGGAGTCGGAACTCTGGCTGAGGCGCTGGAAAAACTAACTGGGCAACGTTGCGGTGGTATCTTCCTAGGACTGATTATGATATCGTCGCCTGACGAAATCGGTGTCATTACTGATGGATTAGGTGTTACAAATCGAGCTGGATTGACCTTTTCTTCTGCCGAGATTGTTACTTTCTTTGGAGTCCTTCGGTGCTCGCTCTTTTGTGTCGGTCGCTTTCTTGATGCTGATTGGTTATTCTTGTTGGGTGGCTTCGACCGGAACTAACTTCCTGGCTGGTGACGATTCGGCCATTGGGGGTGGAAGTACCCCCCTGAACTTGACAAGGACTGTGTAAAGTCCACCACTGGTGCCAGAGTGGGGGCTATGACTGGACCCTGACTCTTGGTCACTTGGGATAGATTTGGTATAATCGGCCCGAATTTCGATGTAGACTGCAAGAGAGGTCTCGGTTTCGATGTATTTGATTCGGCTAGTAGTGTCTGTCTTGGTGCAAACTTTGTGGGGATAGTCTTTCCGTCAGATGACGATGATGTAGAGTCTCGAAGTCTTTTAGTTATCTTGGACTGCTTTGGTTTCTGTAATTGGTCTAAAACTCTATAATCGCTACTTTTCATTCTGATGGATAAGTGAGTTTTCCTTATAATTTTTTTCTTTTCGCTTAAATTTGTTTTGTTTGTAATTTTTGTGACTTTATTCCTAAATAATTTGAATCTTTATTTTTTCAGATCTCCTGTACAATACTTTCCTGAATAATTCTGCTTGACTAGGATTAGATAACAAAAGTTCAAATTACTTTTCGACTTTGAAGGAGACGGCAAGAGGGAGTCTGAGCGAAATCTCATCGTTCCTGTTGCCAAATTCTTTTTGAGAAAACCAACCAGAATCTGATTTCAATCTGTTAAAGTTCGCAAAATTTTGTTTTCGTCCCTTTATCGTGTAAAGAAGTCTTTCTGATGCACTTTCGTCTCCCGGCAGATTTTGCAAGATCTTCCAAAACCTGATAATAAGGAGTGTCCGCTACCGAATCTGAAGCGACTTTGAATCTGGGAGATACGCTTCTGCTGGATTGGCCATGATGGATGAATTTCACTCTTGGTCTACTGTCTCAAGCCTCCCGTAGTTTTTCCGGGGCTAAGGCGTCCCTAGCTAAGTTTTGCTGAACTAAATTAAGTTTTTCCTTCAAGTTGTCGGACATAATAGACCATTCGGATTTAGTTTTTCTACCAAATTGAAACTCGAAAAGTAAAAAACGTATAACATGGTTTTTAGTAGTGCAGATAGTTCTTAGTTTTAGTAGTTCATAAATTATAGATTTCAGTGAGTCTTGTATGTTTGGACAGTTTTCTTCTAATTGAATAGCACTTAATATTCTCTTGATGGTTTGCATTGTCATTTCCACTACACCACGGCCGCAGGACAAAAAATGTGTTTGATATCTTTGGTTTTACAAAATTAACAAACTAACTGATTTTTAAAACTGAGTATTGATCCGTTTTAATGGCTTTAGGAATGCTATGCGTGCATATAAATTCTGTCAAAGAATAAATTATCTTTTTGGCACCTGTTGAACCAGTTAACATGACCAACGGAAATTTTGCTACTAAAATATAAATTTGTGTCCTTCTTCATCCGACAAGGGTACCGGGTAGTCTGTTTGGAGTTCTAAATCGGTGCAGTGAGGATAGGAAGAGGCTTGGCGGAATTGAATTTGCTCATTGGCTTAGGGCTCTTACCAAATTTTGTACACTGGATACAGTTTTGCAGATCGTCACAATATCCCGATGAGTTTTGAGCCACCACACATATAGGGCCGCGTCTATCATTGCCTCTTGTCCTGGGTTCGAACGATGAATTCAAGAGAGAACTGCTTTCTGGAGGCACTCGGGAATGGTGATTCTGTCGTCGATTATGACGCATCCATCAATTAGTGCGATCGAGTACCAGAATGTACGAATGTAAGGCTGGATTCGGCAAAATCCATCGTAGTCATTACTCGTAACGGTATTCCTCATCAGTCTGAGGGTTGGGTCGTCCGCTACCAGTTCTGTAGCATAGCCGCATCCAAGATTCCATTAAGTCCCAGTAGGGACTTCTTAACCTTCGCAACCACCGACTTTTGCTGTTTTCTAATCGTGTTGATTTTGAGCGGTGTTGACACTCCTTTTCAATCTAAAATTTGCGAGGGCTGTACTTGTTTTACTTGTACTTGATTTACGAGGGCTGTACTTGATTTACTTGTTTTTTACAGCCAGCAATATCTTTTTTGAAGTCATTCTGCGAGGTCTGCTTGTATTTGAGGTTCTCACTTTTGGCCGAAAACGACAAAAGATGAATCTAGAGTTTAGGGCAACTTCATTCAATAACCGATCGAAGCTTTCATCTGTGACTGAATTATTTGTTAGAATTCTTTCAGAAAAATGATGATATTGATTAGACCAGATATGAGACTTTTTATTAACTAAGATGTTTCAGCCGTAATAAATACTCGAAAGTGACTGGTTTAGATTTTTGGTTAACTTTCCGTCGCCCCTTGTGCTGGATGTCCAGAGTTGAATTTATTTGGTGTTGGTAACAAGATTCGTTTGCCCTCTTGCGAATACGTGGCATGATATGAGTAAAATTTTAGTGGTTGAAGTTTGTGATAAAATTTTCTTGATTGGGTGGATTCTCCCCATAAGAACTAAATATGGCTAAAACTGTTAAATACGGGTCTGTTTCCGGGTTGGCTGAAGATTCTTCCTTCACCGGGTTTTCGAGGGCTTCAAAGAATTTTTGAATAGATTTGACAACTAATTGCTCGTCGAAAGATGGGGGTTTGGGAGCTGCTGAAGAGGAATTACGTTAAAGAGAATAACTATTCCTAATTTAGAGCCTGCTAAATGATTCACTTCAAAATCAAATGTTTATAATCTATCCGCATATCTGGTTAATCTAGATTGGTGAGATTTATTACCTCTGTTGGTTCCTAATGCTGAAATAATAGTTTTATGATCAGTTAGGACTTCAAATCTGTTTCCGAGTAAATAGTTTCTAAATTATTTAACATGACCATACGTTGGCTAAAAGTTCTAATTGATTAGTACTACACTTTTTCTCTTGGACGTTTAGGAGGGGTGAGGCAATAGCTATTGATGCCCAAGTACCATCGGATAATTTTTTTTCAAGTGCCAAACCTAGTCCGCTGTGACTGGCGTGGCATTTTATCCTCGATTTTTTTTTCTGGTTGTAGTGATACATTTTAGTTTTTTCTGAGATAAGTTTCAGACTCTTAGTAAACGCTTATTGTTGATTTTTCTCAGAAAAATATTCGCTTTTTTACTGGGTTTTAAAGATGGTCTGGATTTTTCTGTGTAGAATCGGAGGTTCGGACGGAAACTTTGTTATTCGTTTAAAACACCCATTTATTATCTTAGCTGTTTGAGTGTTCTAGGGTTTTAGATCCAGAACTGCTTCTACTGTCGAATTTCTCGGAATGTATCCAAACTTATCTATATCGAAGCCTAGGCAAGTAATTTTTTCGACAGAGAAATTGCAGTTCGAGAGTTTCAAGGCAAAGTCTCCCTTATTCAGTTTTTGGAATAATTTTTCAACAGTTCTGATAAGGTCCTCAACGGACCCTCTGGAAACAATTAAAACGTCGTCATGGAAACAAATAACCCCCAGGATGTCTTGTAGAGTATTGTCCATGGCTTTCTGAAATTCTTTTGGCATATCAGTAAGACCATAAAATCCTGTCTTAAAACAATATGTGCCAGTGAACTCTCCACATACTTTTTTAAAATTACAACGGCTACTAACTAAATCGCTCATCTGTAGTTGACTAAAAGCATATTTATGATCTAAGGAAGTGAACCATACTGAGCCTGAACTTTGTGAGTTGATGATTTGAGCCGCCACGACAAGTTGTTCTAAAAGATTGGGCAACCTGTATTGATTTTTATAAACTTGAGCATTCATTGGTTTAGCATCTATAGGAAATTTTATTGAACCCTCCTTTTTGCGGTGATCAGCGCAGGCGCTATAAAATGGTCACTGCTACATTTGTTTAAGTTTACTATGTGGCCTTCTTTGATTAGCTTATTAGCTTGGATACTTCTAGGGGCACTTTTTTTCTGGATATTGATGGGAACTGTGCGTCCTTTTTATTGGATTGGTACAATTAGGTCTGACCGAGTGAACGCGGTGATTTTTTGATCTTCATAGCCTTGAGAAAACATTACTGTTTTTGGATATAAATTACCTTTTCCAGATTTGTGATTCTTCGGAAATTGATAATTCTGATATTTCCAGAATAGGTTGATAGAGTTCCTGGACTGTATCGATTCCGAAAAGGCCCTAGAGGTCTATGCCCATGAGACACGTAGTTCTTTTTTCGGTGACTAAAAACTTTGCATTATCGACTTTCCAACCTAAGGAAAACTGTTCGCTACTAGCGTATCGTTAAGTGTTATAGGTCTTCTATTGTAAACGATAAACAAATGTCGACTGGGTGATCTTCTAATGATAATACTTGTACGTTGACTTTAATATAATATCCGCGGTACGTTTATTTACGAAACAGGCAGAGCTGCCTGTGTCATTTCTTGCTTTGAAGAATGACATATTGACTCTGATGGTGAATTGTGAAGATTTAATTTTTCCCTGAGTTTGTGGTGGCTTGTAAAAATGGTGGCTTGTAAAGATTTAATTTTCCCTGAGTTTCTGTTAATTACTTCCAATGTTTTGACCGACTAGGTCGGTTGCGACCTAGAGTTACGTTGTATTCAGCTGATTTCTACGGGTAATTTTTCTGATACAGATATATTTGAAATAGAGAACTCCGATTCGCTATTTGAAGTTATGAAATTACATTCCTCTTCTGCGATATTTTCTGAATATTCGTCAAAGTTATCTACGTTTTTCCGAGAAATACATACTTTGGGGAAATTACCCTTCTTGCCGCAGGATTTTCAAGTAACATTTTTCGCTGAGCAAGATTGGCGATGATTTGATAAGTAGTTGTTGCCGCAGAAATAGCATGGTTTGGATTCTCTGTTTTTTTTATCGGATTGTCGGATTTTTTGTTATTTTGAGCTCTGGATATTCTGTTTCGCAGATTTTTTTCTTTTGAATCGACATCGTTGGTTCTTGTTTAGTCTTGAAGGAGTTTTGAGTGGACAAAGAATTGTTAGTTGAGGATTTTCAGTCCATTTGTTTTTGGTAGTGCTGAAGCGGTGACGTAGCCCTTTGCTTGTAAAAGGATTGGTCTTAAAGAGTCTTTCGGCAAATCACCTGGTCGAATGCATAGTTCTCGCTGAGTATCTTTAAATCACATTTTTGCTATGAATAGGTCTCAAACGACCTTCTTTTTGATTTGTATCGACCAACCACATTGGGTTGCTTGTCCCGATAGACGGAAGAAGACTCCTTCTAAGCCTTCGCGATCGTTTTGTGACGAAATTTAAAGATGCATACGTTCGACAATAAAGTTTTTTTCTTCTTAAACAAGTTTGTGCATTGTTCAAGAAATCCTTAATTTGTGTCGTGGCCAGATTAACATGAGCGAACTTTGAAGGAAACGTTCTTCTCTTCGGTCACTAGAGAAAAGAACAGCCTTGATTTTACCCTTTGAGTAGCCTCGTGATAAAAGATGTTAGGTCCAATTTTTGGACCTTTCTTACGCCGCTCGGCGTTTTGCTCGTTAGTTTTCCTATTTTCCGCTTGATCCCGTTTGATACAATTTTCGGTATCTGTGGTCGATTCGGATTCTCCTACTCTTTCTGCTTTGGAAGCAAGTTCATCGAATACTTCGGCTGGTTCAGATACAAGTACGTTTGGGTCGCAATGTTCCCTCAGTCTAATCGCTAAAAAAAAGTTGACCGGTCCAAGTATCCCAATTAAAAGGTGGTTCTGGAGTTTGTCTAGGCCAAACAACTGGAACTCCTAAAAAGTCTGAACGTTCATCGTGATTCAAGGCTGCAGGCTGAGCCATGTGAAATGGTAACCTACACTAGCTTGGTAAACTAACTAAAATGATGAATTTAAGTTCAGTTGATATGAATTGGCTGCAAGTTCAATAAATATGATATGACTACAATCTTTCAGCAAGCATCAGAGAGTGTTAAATTTAGTTTAGCACTTTGTCATGGTTGGGAGACCTGTCCCGACCTTGACACCCTAGTTGCAATTCACTCAAATAACTCAACGTTCAAATAGACTAGCAAAGTCTAACACAAGGCATGACAGCCGCCGTCACACCCCCTTCTAGAAAGGGGTGATTGTTAAGTAGATCAAAATGGTCGTTTTTTGGACCAATCAGAATGCAGCAAAGTTAGCATTCTCAATAGAACGCCCTAGTGCTTATTTACTGTATTTATTTAAAGGGCTGTTTAAAGGGCTGGGCTTAAGTAGGTACCATAGGGGGCGGGGGGTGTTAGAGATTGTAAAGTAAGTAGGTCCACGACAACTACCGTTATTTGACAACTTAACTTGCCTGCAGCAATCAATGCTGAAAAATTGTTCAGCTGATCCAAAGGCAAATTCCTGTCTAAGTCAGAATATACAACACAATCAAAACTCAAGTGGCAGAACTCTCGCATGTGAATTGGTCCATTGTGTGGCTGACTCATTGAGGGCAGTTTCGAGTAGGGGAAATCTATGATAGAGAAGAAATCTGTTCCGTTCGATTTCGGACCAAAAGATCCTGAATTCGCCTCTGGTGTTGTAAAGTTGTACTGAATTGAGCTAAAATAAAAAAAGGATGAAAATGAAACTCACGTTATCAGAGCGGGATCCTTCCTTCTCAATTACAATACTGTAGAAATAAAAATTCTATCAAACTTTATCAAATAGTTTATCAATTTTCTATCAATTTAGGGTTGATTATTCAGAAAAGAATGTGGTAAAATCAAGCAAATTAACTTAACGTTTTTGGCTTGATATTAAATACCAAAAATTTAACAAATTTTAAAAACAAGCTGTCAATAACTTGTGATCAGTTTCATTTGCTTAAAATTATAAGAAGCCAAAATAACCACAAAGTTAGGCTAACCTGTTTGTTTTGAAGTTGAGGTTGTAAATTAAAAATTTTTCTGCTGTAAAAACAGTAAATCATCAAATAGCAGTGAATATAGGCTTTCTTAAGGTGTTTAATTGCTTTTGTATCTTAGAGAAAAAAAGCGGCGTTATTTCTAACTATCTTTTAACCCCCCATTACCTATCTCAGCCTGTGGAAAGTATTTAATATGGCTTAGGGCGTTTTTATACAAAAGCTCGACATTGAAATCTTAGTTTTTCATTGTTACAGCGCATAAATATTTCAAAACATGTTATAATCTGTGTCTCTGAAAAACATCAACTTCTTGAAAAATTGTGAAAAAAACATATCTAAATGATTAAAACTGAAACTTATTTCTAAATAATGCACTGCTATTTAGCTATTTACAGGAAAATTGAAGATAAAACAAAAAAATCAGCGATAAGAAAAGCAAAATCAAAAAAAATTTTGAAATCGAGCTAGGCATTTCCGATAATAATCAAAATTAATTATTAATTATGCTTTACAATATGATAAAAGCAACTCAAAATAAAACACCGGTTGATGCAGCTGTGAACATCAACTGTGCATCAACTGTGCTACAGTTGATGCAGATTTTTAGCTGTTGATGCAATTGTGAAATAAAAAAGCACGTCGCTTGTTCTAATCCATTAGTAGAATAATTGTAAATATAGACGAAAAAAGGTACATCATTTTTTCCGCTTTGCTTGCCAATTTTTATTGCCACAGATCGTATTGAGTTAAAGACAGGTGAATGAAAAACTGCGACTATAAGATATTTTGAATCTAACTTCAATTATTTTCAGCTCATCAGATTCTTATTTTTCGACTTTGCGAACTTTTCAACCAACATAAATAATTTTTTGGCGTTTTTCGCCAGACTGAAGACTCAGTCTGCCCTCTTCTTCAAATATTCTCCTGTTGGAAATGTTATGTTAACTGTTTTATCGAATCTGATGTAAGCTCCATTAGTTAACATAACTAAGCTTAAACTCACGTTTTTGATCGCACTACGAAATGAATCCAAGTTTAATTGAGGCAAGCTAACTAGTCTAATAACCTGATGATATTTCATACACGATTCAAATTTCACCTTCTAAAGTTTGATAATATCAGCCTATTCGGTACCCGTTAAAGGGCAGTCGGAAAGAGTAGTTTTGTAAATCATCAAAGTTGCCATTTTTAAATTTCCATTTTTTGAAAACTTTTATTTCGAAATTCAGCGCATTTTTGTATAGACTAAAAGCAATGATCAGAGCTACCCTTCCAAAACTATCAAAATTTGGTATCAAAAACTGCGTAAAATAAGAAACAGCTGTTTTCATTGATTATTAGCATGAATTTTTTGTACTTTTAATAAGAGTTCAATCCCATGCAAAATTTAATGCAGATAAGACCCTAAAATTTAGAGCAGGGTTAAACTGGCAAGTTTATCTTACCAAATTTTGATAGTTTCATAGAGGACAACTCTGATTATTTGAAATTTCTAAATAAATGATTGCCGCAAACTGTCCTTACTTTTAAATTTATCTCCAAGTGTACTTACTCACTCGACGAAACTTCAACAAAGACAAAAAAGTTCGAGGCATTTCAAAAATGTTAAAGACAACGTTTTATTTGATACTCCCACTTAAGTACAAACAGTTTGCAGTTTGCACCGGCGATCATTTTTTGAAGATTTATGGTGTTTAATATGTGCAACATTGCCTGATCGAAGACTGATTCTCCGCGTTACGTTCACTTCACTTTTTTCTCAAGTTTATGCAAGAACCAAAATAAGTTGCTGAAAAACTATTTGGCTTTTTAACTATCCCATTTTGATCAAGAATAACAATCCGAAGAATTTTGAATTGCCATCTGAGAATTGAAATTTGAAGGATGTTTAACCTGCAATCTTTTTTTAGAGCGGTTGATACTTAAAAATTGCCAATTTGGCCTTATCAGGTCGGTTAAAACAAAATAGGGCCGTACTATCGTACTATATTTTTCAATGTCATTAACATAATGTATGCTGGCGCTGATTTTTTTTTGCTTCAGATTACTTTCAGTTTTATTCTTTGAAATATTCCTTAGCACCTCGCTGTGAACATCAACTGTGCATCAACTGTGCTACAGTTGATGCAGATTTTTAGCTGTTGATGCAATTGTGAAATAATGCAATATGTGAGATTTTATGATAGTAAGTATTGGGTTAATGACATTTTTTTATTTTGACTTTCGAAGAATTGCGCTCAGGGTGGTTTTCTTCTCTAGACAAAATTTGATGACCAACTGCTTTTTTTCGGCGCGCGCTTCCCCCTCGAAATAAGCCCATATTGGCGCCAAAGTCGCCTTTTTTTGAAAACTTTTACGGTCCGTCAGCTAGAAATGAATACCTCAAAAAAATAGGAAGGGTGACCCTTTGGGTCGGAAGGGGCCGAATCCCTGAGGAAGGGTGAGCGATCCGCAACCCCATTCCCCTTAAATCCGCTGGTGGGTCGGCGCATTCAGGGCTTCGCTCTGATACGAGCAGTCTTGTTTCCATTTGTGAAGACAGCGCGTCTATACGAGTAAACATCCGCTCAACATCTTTTCGATTAAAATTGAATACGCAAATTATTTTCAACTGTTTACTAAGACGCAAGAAAAAACTTGAAAAAAAACAAGGTTTTAGGCTAGCTGTTTTATTGTTATTCGAGGAAAAATTCTATGTTATTCGAAGAATTTCCTTCATGAAATTCTATGAAATTATTGTTATTCGAAGAATTTCCTTCATTTGACATAGAATGATTTTCTTTCAATTAATTTGTTCGCTCAGTAAAAATGGTGTTCAAAACAGAAACTAGTAGTTCTAAATCCACAGAAGTGGAGGGCGCAAAATAATAAATGAAGAACATCCATGGTACTAGCAACATAAATCAAAGGCTTCTTGCAGGCCCTGGTTTTGGTTGCGTACGTAGTTAACCTTTCAAAGCATGCACAAATATATCTTAAATTTGAACAACTTTGGGAATATGGAACTCCTTTGCCCTCTGCTTCCATTAGAATGAATATTATAAACTGGGACTATTAATATAGATAAACTTTTGCTACTATATCGGACTCCTCCCGAATTGCACAAAAGTCTCTGGAATATGCGCCCGATTGCTCATATAAGTATCAAAACATTTTTTTTCTGTCAAAGTTTTAACCGCATTCGTGTATCAGCTGGCGCTCGCAACGCTGCATTAGTACCAGCTTCAGATATTTCGCCTTGTTTCTTCGAATACCGCATATGAAAACTTTAACTAAGTTTTTTATCAAAGAGCAGACGTCTTTGATTTGTTTTCCAAAATATTTCAGCTATCTGCCCCAATATGTCAACAACAACAAACACATGGTAAATGTAGTATCTTTGAGTACATTGTTTTGAAAAAAGGTGCAGCCATAATTTTATACGGTACTTGATTACTCAGAACCAGACCGAGGGGGAAGTTTTTGTAGTGACTGAGTGTATAAAATACAGAGAAAGGGCACTTAAGCTACAAGACCCATGCTCTTTCTATAAAGGACCTTGAGGCCAGTTGCATGCCTAAACGTTTTTCGAGAAAATGTTCTTTAGAAATAAATCTTTGATCGGTTTATGAAATAGAAGGCTTAAAAGGCTTTAGAAGGCTTAACATAAAAGGCTTTGCCCCATTGTGAGCTAGCTTGTTCGTTTCATTGATTTTTTTGACGTTTCGCAAGCACACACTTCTCAAAACAATTGAAAAAGTCCAATGAGTCACAAGGTTATCTTAGTAAGAGAGGTTTTTTCATTGTTTTGAAGTTAAAAAAGTCACCTTCGGACCCGGCGCGAATGAATGTCAAGATTTTCAGATCATGTTGGTTGCATGTGAGCAAAATAGGTGGTAATATCAAAATAGTTGATGATTTGAATACTGTACGTTTCTCGCAAAGCTTGAATTGATTCAATTAAAATTTTACAAGCATGCGAAAAAACTAAATTGCACGTTCGAGTTTCGAAAAATATTTATCAATGATTTTTTTTATTAAAGCTTGATTAAAAGTTAAGCCACATGAATGAATATACCATCACGAACTGATCATAGTCAAGTGAAAGCTGTTATACTTGATATCATAGGTATAGCTTCGGTCGAGTTAATTTAAACGAAGCGAGATATTTACAAAACCATTTGATTTGAAAACCATTTTTACAGTTTTTCGTTGTCATACGAAACAAATTGTAATTGAAAATGGCATCGAATAGCTTATCACACTCCTCTATTCAGTACCACGAATTCCACCGGAAGTTTGATTTGAATCCTTACCAGAGTTTCATGGAAAAACATCTTCAACATTACGGATATTTCTCGTCGAAAAACGAAGCCGAACGAAGCTTCTCGCGAGAAACAGAATCAAAACGAAACGAAATGGGAAACGTAGATGAAAACGAAGACGATGCGAAGTCGAACCAGGTTCAGATGTTGTTGAAAGATGGAAAACAAGTAAGCAAGCTGAGAGAACCGAGAAACCTCTTCGCATTGATGGTGGGTCCAAACATCGGGGCAAAGTACCCGTTTGACATGCAGGTGCTTCCACAACCAATCGAGCATATACACTGGGTTCCTGAAAAACCAGAGCCTCTTTATAAGTTTACCGGAACTGAACCAGCGCCCATGGTTAAGGGTGTAGATCGAGGGGGAACGTTAGTCTATCAATACATTGCCACACATACCGACTACTTTGTACGGTCCGCCGTCCGTGGAAACTGCCAATTGCGACCGGTTAATTTTTCGGATTCCAATTTAGATAACTTAAAGTTCGAATCCCGATTCGAATCTGCCAACTTAGAAGAAGCTTTAAAACTAGGACCCCACGAATACGAGTTAAGTCTTCGCTACGATTTGTATACTGAAAAACACACGCAGTGGTTCTATTTTCAAGTCTCAAACGCAAAGCCTGGAGTTAAGTATCAGTTCACAATTGTAAACCTAATGAAAAGCAACAGCTTATACAACTCTGGAATGAAACCGTGCTTCTATTCGGAAATAGACTCAAAAACCAAAAAAATAGGCTGGCGCAGGGAGGGATTCGATATCAAGTACTTTAAAAACAACACACAGCGACCGGACAGTCATCGCCCCTTTTACTCTCTGACCTTCTCGTTTGAGTTCTTAAATGGCCCTGAAGATAAATGCTACTTTGCTCACTGTTATCCTTATACTTACACCATGCTGCAGAATTATCTGCAAGACATAGCAGACCATCCAGCTAAATCCAAGATTTGCAAACAGAGAATTCTCTGCAAAAGTCTAGGTGGTAACATTGCATACGTTCTTACAATCACAAACCCTGCAAGAGGTCAGCCAGGTCAAGTATCGAGGTCAAATCAGGGTTCATTTGGGGGCAAAAAGAGTGTGGTCATAACAGCCCGAGTGCACCCGGGTGAATCGAATGCGAGTTGGATGATGAAGGGTGTTTTAGACTACCTTTTAGGCGACTCCCCAGATGCAAACTTACTTCGTGAGAGTTTCATCTTCAAAGTGATTCCCATGTTGAATCCAGACGGGGTAATAGTAGGAAACTATCGATGTTCCTTAGCCGGCCGGGACTTGAACCGCAACTACAAATCTGCTCTACGCGACGCATACCCCACAATTTGGTCCACGAGACAGCTAATCAAGAAAATGCGAGACGAGATTGGCGTCGTTTTGTACGTTGATTTACACGGCCATAGTCGCAAGCAAAATGTGTTCATGTACGGATGTGAAAAACTGTCCGTGTCAAGTCAAAGACTCAAATCGAGAATCTTTCCATTCATGTTGTCCAAAAACAGCCCGAGCGCATTTAGTTACAAAAGTTCAAAGTTCAAAGTGCAGAAAAGCAAGGAAGGATGCGGTCGAATTTGCATGTGGAACATGGGAATAAGTAATAGTTACACCATGGAGTCGACCTTCTGTGGGTCAACATTAGGTCAAAAAAGAGGGTTCCATTTCAGCACGAAAGACCTCGAACTCCTAGGATACCATCTGTTGGACACTTTGCTCGATTATTCAGACCCGAATCCGATAAAATACGCAAAAGTTCTGAGCGAATTAGAACTAGATTTGAGGCGAGAAATAATGAAAAAATGGGCGGCGAAGGGAATCAAACGGGATATTTCTTCAATTTCAGAGAAAGATCTGGCCCAGATGCTTGAAGCGGCCTCGGATTCCGAAGTCGAGAGTAGCACAAGTGGCTCAGATAGTTCCGATGACAATGGTTTGCCAATCCACATGATGGAAATGACACAGCAGCCTCTGAAAACTTCAGTGAAACGACTTAAAACCAAAAAAGAGTTGGACAAATTTAGACACGTTACACTAACAAACACAGAAACAAAGTTGAAATTGAATAAAAACATGAGCAAGTTTCCTGAAACGAAGATGACCAAGCTTGACGAAGCAAATTCTGACTCGAAACATCGAATTGCTAAGTTCAACGATGCAAGTGAACAGAAGGCAAGAAAAGACAGTCGTGAAGAATCGGCTAGCAGTAAGAAGTCGCTAATGCGCTACGCAAGTACAAAAAGGCGGGAACAATCATTGATCAATTTGCGAGAGGTAGATTCAGGTCCGTCTCGGCTCGCAGGCATGGTAGATTTTAGCGAACTGTACTCGGAGCCTCAGACTTCGATTGCTGATGTCGAAGTGTTTGAAGTCGGCGGGCTTACCAAAAAAGGGACCACGAGACGGGATGTTTCAACGCAATTCACGCCGCTTCCTCAAACCCACAAACATGTGCTGGAAACATCAGCTGCACAACAACGACAACAAGATCGTCTCCGAGACGCAAAAAAGAAGGCACAGTCGATGTTGTCTCCATTCGGCGAATGGAACAACAAGCCGGGTAAAAATTCAATGCAAGTTGCGAGCTCTTCGAATCCAGTGAAACCTTCAGGAAACGATCAAACCATGCGCAACTTGGAAAAAGCGTACAAAGATCAGAGCTCACTTCACTGGTTACCGAAACAAATTCGGAAAAACAATCAAAGTAACATTAAACATATGAGTTCTACGGCTACAAGCCAAGATCGCATAATCCCGGCAACATCTTTGAACCCGAAACCTCGAACCGGTTCAGTTCCTGAAGCAGCGCAGATGCCGAACAATTCATTGAGCTACCCGAGAGGAGCCGAGATGCAGCAGTTGTCCTTAACCGAGCGTCTTATTTCAAAGAACGGAATTGGAGGACTTAATTCGGAATCAATGCAGTTGATTAACAATTCTGAACAAGAAACGAAAAGTTTTTTTGCTTCTCATTTAAGACTGAATGGAATAATGTCCCAAAGTTTCGAAACTTCAACAGATATGAAAAATAACGCTTGTTTTTCTGACTCTCCGAACTCATTTGTAAAAACAAAGCCGGATGAATCAATTGAACGCCCTAAGCCAACTACCATTTTCGGCGAAGGTTCCAAAATCAAAAACAAGAACGAGGGATTGATTTATCTCCGAGCAAGTCAAGAGCGAACTGCAAATGAAGAAAAGCTTCAGAAAGAAAGAGAAAAATTCCACGAAAGTCTCAACAAATCAAACGAAAACCAAAATCCTCAAAAATCAAGAAGCGAATTCAGATTCAAAATTGATAATTTTGGCCAGAAAAAGAGAGCGACCGAAGATATGAACAACCAGGAGAGAGTTGAAAGTCGGTTGGAGAGCGAGTTGGAAGAACTTGGAATTTACAACGACTCGGAAAGCGAATCGGACAACAGATTAAAGAGTTTGAAATGGAAATCTAACATCAGGTTGGAAAGTGGCCGTAATTCAGTAGACGTCTCTCTTAAAAACTCAGAAGTCAAAAATGATATCCAAATTTTGACACCCAATGGAAAGAAAGTGAAAATTGGGGACCCTATTATATCTGCTGACGACGCTGGGTTGAATTCGGACATTGCGATTGCTCCCGAACTCCTGGAGATCCAAGAGCAAAAAGTGCGACTAGCGAGCGCCAAATCCGAAGTGCGGCATCGAAAATTGAGATTCATTGATGAAGTCCACTCAGGGAACGATGACAACAGTTATAAAGATTCCGAAGATAGAAACCAAGAAAGCGCCGTGACAGTCGATTCAAGTCGTGAAAAAGACAGACAAGTAGCCGAATTAGGCAACAAAAATGATAAACACAGAAAAACTTTGGATCAAGCGGACTATCAGGGACTGACTGTTAGGGAGTTCAGTTTTGGACGGGTACAGTCGCAAAAAAATTCGGACTCAAAAATCAGCGAACATTACCCACGGCAGAACTTCTCAACTGATGGCAATAGTCACAATAGTTTGGTTAATATTTCGCTCAGTAAGTACAGTAAGTTCGAACACAATTTGAAGCTCAGTCCAAGGCCTGTGTCCGATCACTCCCTTATGTCCAATCGGAACCTGAAGCCTCCCGTGAAAAGATACGAGACAACCCAGAAAAAGAAAATAGACATCGAAGGGTTTCTGAAAGAGTAAATTGAACTTTCATTAACTTCAATCAATGATTTCTCATCAATAATTTCCATTCATCTAATTAACCTTAACTGAAATTTCTCCGATGTGATGATTTTATCACTTCTCAATGCCTGAGCGACCCTTGAGTTTTCTGATGCGGCATCAGTTCTAAGAGATAGTCAACTTTAGATCGCGCAAGAAACATTCAGTTATCTACAAAAAATTGAGGGGCGCCAATATATAAATGAAGCAGCCCGAAATTCAGCTTAAATCAAATTGTGTAGGCTTGATAACCGCTTAAAGACTCACCAGGCTATCGACGAATTGAACTAACATTTAACAACACTGCTATAATCAGGCCGAAGCCCTGAATTCTCTAACTGCTATGGGGCAGTGTTCGCTTTAAAATTGGATAAAATTTGCAAAAAAAATGGAGTAAAAAAATTGACTAAGAGATTTTTCTTTATCATCCCCCACACGCTGTGTAAAGTACAAAAAAATAGATTTCGCAAAAAGCAGAGTATTAAATACGCCAAATAGAACGACTCAATTTAATTGCCTCAATGAAAGGATTGCTAATACTGAATAAATCTTAAAAGTCAATGCTCGCAAATTGGTCAAAATAACAACCTTCAAACCCTCAGAACTTTTCATAAACTAATCACAGGTAAAATCTACTTTTTTAATGTTCAGTTCAGGACAACAATTCACTTCGATTAATGTAGAAAAAACTAGCCATTAAAAATTGTAACTTCTCTGGAGGAAACCCCCCCCCCCCCCCCGAGAATATATGCTCCTTCGGAAGTCGGAACGAAAAAATATTTCAATTGTGATCTTTTTTGCTAAAATAAGCAAGTAACAATGTTTTTCTTCTATTAACATAGAAATTGTCGACTTAGCACGGTTCGAAACTTGTTCCAAGATGAACTGAGACATGGTTCTCTCAAAGTCTTTAAATCCTGTCAATTAAGTTCAAACTAGCTTTTCTGTCTATAATTGTCTTGTCTTGTCTTGTTTCCCATTTACGCCCTGGGGCCTTGGGTTCGGAGATCTTGGCATCCGTGTCGCGTCATATGCTTGGTCAGGTTGTTCGATGTGATAGGCGTACCGCAACCTGGGCACTTCACTCTAGGTCTGAGACCTGTGTATTTGTTGGTAGTGATTTCGTCGTTTTGTTGGTCACGATTTTTGCAGGTTTTGTAGTGGTTGGTGAGCTGGGCTTTTTCCGGAAAGGCTCGCTTGCATCCGGGGCACTCGAATATTTTTCCCGCCTGGCGGTGACCGCGTCTCTCGTGTGTTGCTCTGCCCGATTTGCTTTTGCAGATTCTACCGCACCCCTCCACCCTGCATGTCAGTCCATCATCCTGTATCTGCTGCTTTCTATTTACCACCTCCTGTTTCCTACAATGTTCCGCTACTGCTTCCTCCCATTTCAGTAGGTATTGGTGCCTCATTCGTATGAATTTCTTCCATTTCATACGGTCGCTTGCTAGGTTTCCTGCATTGGTCCAGTCTTCCCCTGCCTCCTGAACCATTCTTTTCCAGTAGCTAATGAGGCCATTCCTCAGGTAGCCTGAGCTTGTCTGGGGTTCGGCCCAGTTCCCGAGTACAATTTTCTTGACGGCACGGCAATCCGGCATTCGCAGAACATGCCCGAGTCTCTGGAGAGCTCTTATCTCTACTTTTGTTCTGATGCTTTCAATTCCCAGATCCTTCCGTATTTGGAAGCTATTGACTCCTTCATTTTGCATCCGTAGTAGCGCGCCCGCCTTGCCATTATTCCACACAAAACGGTAGCATCGATCTGCTATACTCTGTAGTTTGTCCGTGTCGGTTGCTGACCATGATCTCACATTGGAATCAAAAAACTAGCCATTAAAAAGTTGAAACTTCTCTGGAGGAAACCCCCCCCCCCGAGAATATATGCTCCTTCGGAAGTCGGAACGAAAAAATATTTCAATTGTGATCTTTTTTGCTAAAATAAGCAAGTAACAATGTTTTTCTTCTATTAACATAGAAAGTGTCGACTTAGCACGGTTCGAAACTTGTTCCAAGATGAACTGAGGCATGGTTCTCTCAAAGTCTTTAAATCCTGTCAATTAAGTTCAAACTAGCTTTTCTGTCTATAATTTATGTCAATCGTTCTGTTCTCCTCCGATGTTAGCCATCGTTGACAAGTACCAGCCCTCAGAATGTCTGAGACCGTCTTTAGACCGTCCATTATTGTTTTGATCACTGATACAATTAAGTTTGGGCTCAAATTCAACAAATCAAATCAGCCTTTTTAACAAGGCACAGCCGGCAGGCCAAAGAATTTTTAGATAGGCCGTTTCAATTGAGGAATAGTTGCAAAAAAAACCCTTAACCCCACGAAGTTATACTTTGCAAAAATCCTTAGGAACCCTAGTGGCGGACGTGGAAGGTAAGAATAGAATAGATCCGAACAAACACTAATCTCGAATCAGTACTTGTGCCTAGGGGAAAAAGGACTAGTCGAATTGCACAAAAGGAGACCGTACTTTGATTTGGCAGCCACACATTATCCAAGGTTACTTGGTGCTACAGAAAGAGAAATTAAAAAGGAGCGAACCGAGATCTACGAGGTGTTTAAATTTCTGCCGCGAAAAGATGGGCAAATCACTGGAGCAATTTCACTCAGTGTTGAGCAGTCTTGCGGCAAGGGGCAATTTCGGACTGCTGGAGACACGGTTATTGAGATATATATTCATCGTGAACATGACAAAATGTGAAGCCCAAAACGAGCTGTGTAGATCTAGTAAAACACCGAAGGAAGTATACCGAATAACGCTGTCGTATGAACGGGGGGGAGCAGACGTATGTTTCAACATCTGGGGACCAACTGCAAGTGGGCAGACAGCCGGAGGACTAAAAATCAAGACGGAACCGGTGGGGACAATAGGAGGTGGATATAGGAAGACCCGAGGGAGAGCACACGGCTCAGTCCAAGGGAGAGGACAATTCCGAGGCATAACTATTATTGGGGATCGCAGATGCTATAACTACGACAAACCAGAAGTTACGAGAGAATTTATGAATCAATGTGAAACCAAGGGAGTTACATGCATTTTTTGTAGGTATAATTCGACGACAGGAGGACGGTGAACCGTTCGATCCGGATGACATGTAAAATTATCCGAACTAACACCGGAGGATCAAAAGTGCCTTAACTATAAAAATAAAACTCCACTTATTTGAAACGAGGCCGGTCAAATTAGGTCGAAAGGGTCGGCGGCTTCAGCATCCATCAAAGTAATTGGTCGAAATTGACCGTCGATAATAGGACGGAACTTTATGGGCATACTGGGAATGCAGCTGATCTAGAAGGAGAGAAGAAGAGAAGGTCATCACAATACAGTACGAGGTGGACATCGATATTCCAAACTGTAGCAGCGGTAGAGCTACTTCAATTTTTAAAGATGTCTGAAAAATTCAAATATATTAGGTTCTGGCAAAAGTGTTTGCGAATCTAACGCTCATCCAACAATAAGAGAGAAGATTTCCGATGCCATTACAAGATAAAATCGATGCCAAATAATATTTATACTCATATGTCAGGGGCACAGGGAGAAAATAGAGGATTGTACGGACAAATCTTTCATCTCACCATTAATAGGAACTGCTAAAAAGGACGAATGGGTAAAACTTGCTCTCGAGGTACGTGAACTAAATAAACAGGTGCATTATAACAAAAATCAAATGCCGAATTTTGAAGAATGGATGGGTACGGTCGGGTAAACATCAGCGAGAAAAAAAGTGTTGGAAAATAATTTTCGACAATGGATTTTAATACCCGTATTATCAACTGCCACTCAGTCCGAATATAATTTTTTGGAAGTCCGGGGAAATGGACGGGACATGCCATTTGGAGACCGTTTTTTTGGATTCACAACTATGCCGACGCAATTCCAAAAGGTAATTGATTCGATTTTATCAGATTATCCGTAGTCACATGCAAGCATTGTTGGTATACTGGTGGTAACAATAGGACCAGAAATTTAACACGTCAACAGTTGAAAAGATCTCAATGAAGCTAGATAAAACAACTTTGCGCTTAAACTAACTAAATGTAGATTCGCGCAAAAAGAATGCGAATGGTTTGGCCATAAAATAACGCCAACCAAACTAACGCCGCTAATCCGAAACGCGGACTCAATCACAAAGCGGAGACGATCCTGCACACTATCGCAACCGAAATTTTTTATGCGGTCAATATATAATTTGGAGGAACACCTCTCAGCAAGAACTAAAAGATCAGCACCGTTATGGTCGCTGCTAAGCAAGAAAAACCGTTTCCGGTGGCCAGAAGAATGTCAAATTAGAGAAATTGAAATGCCAAGTTGCAAATATAGTGGAACTCACATATTTCCACATGTCCATAAGGATATAAGGATACTTTGCAAAGCAGGCCACAATGGCCTAGGTGCCCTTCTAGAACAGCTCGGTTCCGAGGGTTCGCGGTCAATATTGTTCTTATCGCATTATCTGAACGATGCCAAGAAGAAAGACTCGACAAACAAGTCAGGAAACTAGCGGTAGTGTGTCGCGGCAGAGTTTTTAAAACTATGTTCTGGGCAGCCATAAACAATCACAAAGCCGTCATATTGTTTTTAACTGGTAACAATTAGAAAAAAAACAATGTTTAGCCGACTAAAAAGATACCTTGACCGCCTGATTGCATTCGACGTCAAAGTGAAGCACAAGCCAGGGGCTAAAATCGGACTAGCAGATTACATTTTCCGAATCCCAAATAGCGAAGCAAAACCCCTTATGATTTAGGAAAGAGTGTTCACGGTAGCAAAAATTAAGTCAATTTGTAGCGCCCTCAAATTTGATAATAATAGTTTATCCGAACAATCGGACATAAGTTAAACAATATCACAGGCGAGCAATTCTTCGTCAATCAATCCCAAGTATGCAAATATCGATAGTCAAAACGGTCGGTAGAGGGAGAATTATCACGCAGTACGAAACCAGTCAATCACAATGCAGGAATTTGCATAAATCGAGAGCCACGCTACGAATTCTCTAATGTAGTTGGTAAATTTAAAAATTCCAAAGAAAGTTACACAGGAAC